TGGGTGACTGAGTGAGTGTGACTGGTTCTGGGTGAATTCGGATGTTATTTTGATAAATATTTGTTTAATTTAATATTAATTGTATAAAGAGTATAAACTCAGATTTTACTTGTGGGGTGGGTGGGTACCGCGAGATATATATTTTCGACACCCTTGTGAAAAATCTACTGTGCATCACTGATGTGAGCATGGGAATAAAGTATCAATTGATTTACTAAGCAAAAGCAATGATATTTTAAAAGCTGTGAATTTGTTGAAAAGTTTAAAAAATGTTGTCGCAATTTTAAGGGATTCAAACAGGGTCTATGAACGTAGGGTTGGAGAGTTTTATTCCCAAATAAGCATCATACAGGGACAGATTGGGATCAAAATTTGGCCCAGGAATTTTCGTGATTTTTATATATGTTGTAAAAATTGAAACTTTGAATGCTTATAAAAAAAAATTGTGACTATGAATTTCTTTAATTTTTCAACTGCTATTGTAACAATATGTTAAGAGCCTTGTATTAAATTTTCAAGCTTTTCTGCCAAACAAATAAATTTTTATCGATATTAATTTTAAAAAAACTAATAATGATTGAAAATTTCAAATGCCTATGAATAGTTAAACTTAGTCGAAAATTTTTGAAAATTGAACTGTGGATAGAATATACTTATATAAACATTCGGTGAAAATTTCATGTATCTATGGTCATTTGTTTTAAAATTACATCAAAAACCAAGATCGATTTTGTCGAAAAATTAGTGTGCGTAAAATTTCCCGTTTTTCCCTTAATTTTTAGTTTGTTTTTCTAGATTATTTAGAAAAGTATTAAGAATTTTTCACTTTTGACCTTCTAAAGTACCAACTAGATTCACTTTCTGATCGAATGAGGTACTGAAGTCAAAAATCGAAGCACTTTTACTGCCCCAAAACGTGTTGTCAGACACAAAAAAAAAAAAACACATAATGTAAAATCAATACATTCGTCGCTCCGCTCAGAATCTAAAATAAATATATAATATTACATTTGTATGTAATAACAATAAGTAATGTGATGTTTTGAGCAAGCCCTTATTCCACATTACAGTAAATTAAATACATTAAAATAATATGAAAAAAAAACAATAATTTACATACTTAAGAGGACGTTTCACCCGCATGTGTTGTCTCCGTCTTACAAGT